TTTTTTTTTTTTTTTTTTTTTTTTTTTTTTTCCGCTCGGCTTTGATATGCCTGGCCTTGATGCGCTTGGCCTTGATACGCCTGGTGTTCAGTCCCTCAACCGACGGAGCTAGCCTGTTGAAGCGCATTGGTGACACACCCGTGTGTGGAGACACGCTCGCTCTGTAGGATTTGAACTCGCTACGCTGATATGACTACGGAGAACCATTCGGCGCTCTTCGCTGCTGTTCTACTCTCTGCGGAGTTCTCTGCTGCACCGTTCAGGATCTTGCCGAAAATCACCATAGCTTTCTCTGCTAGACTCTCACTGTGGTGCTCGTTTATCCCTCTTGGGATAGCAATCAGATTCGCACCTGTCGTAGCACTCACACTTGCCAATCGAACGCTGCGCTGACCAGCCAAACATAAATGCACCATTTGGCTTCGATGAAATGCTGAACTTGCATCTGGCGGACAAGGGAATTGCCGATGCACACGAGGAGGCACAACCGGAGGTGACGGCTATCAATCATATCGCCCCTGATTTCGAGGCTTTCCTCTCTCTCGCTCTCTCTCTCTCGCTCTCTCTCTCTACCTTTATACCTCTCTCCCTCTCTCTCTCTCTTGTTGCATATACTTCCCCTACATACCTACCTCCTACCTTACGCCCTGATTGTTTCGCTAATGGTTCTCAACATATATTTCGGCGTTATATCTTGTGCTATTACTTAACTCCTCTGAGGAGCTAGCCTATTGGCAGGGTTAACGAAAAACATGTTTAAGGGAACATGCCAATACCCTAGCCGGACTTAACGACTGTGCTCTCACCTACCCTTTATGAGGTAAAATGGTGATTGTTCCTATATGTGAGAACCAATGGTTTCGTGCAGATTTACACTTTCCCTTTTTTTTAATTCCTCTTAGTTGCTGTGAAAGTACTTTGATCAACTTTGATGTAATTCTTTTTCACCCAATGTTTTGCTTACCTTGTTTGTTCCTGTTGCTTGACTGGGGGTTTGGGAGGGTAATTAAAAAAAAAAAATCGTTGGGTAAATCGTTTCGTCGTGGCATCTATTTTTGGGATGGATTGGATGGCTGATGTGCGCAGGGATCATGCTCACGTGAAGGTCGTGCTGGCGCAGTTCATTTATAGAAGGGCAACGAGGGATTTGGAGCGTAACGGGTTATTAAGGGGATTAGGAAAATAAACTGAGAGATTATATGCGGGGAGCAGGGATGATGATTAGGCGTTGAAAGTTGTGGAGAGGATGATCTATTATTTGCAGGACGACTTGGCTGCCTGCCTTCGTAACAATCAGGGGAACGTATGGGCTTTAAAAATCCTCTTCTACAGTAGAATAGTCAGCTAGCTGAGGCCACTCTGATTCACGTAGGTAGTAATTTTTTAAAAAGTTTTTTTGCTCGCTGTTATATGTTTTTTTCTTTTCTTTTCTTTTCTTTTCTTTTCTTTTCTTTTCTTTTCCTTTCCTTTCCTTTCTTTTCTTTTCTTTTCTTTTCTTTGAGGGGCGCTTTTCTTGGGACGATGTTACGGAAAACGGGAACAAGGTGTCGTTCTGACCATTACGAATGATCGGAACTGGGTACTTTCAATCGAGGACATATTTCAGGGTAGTAGTACATCTAGAGGAACGATACATAGCCACTTGTTACGACTTAGTCATTTGTAGGTCTTACGACTCGGTGACTACGCGAAGCATTCTTTTCTTTCTTTCTTTCTTTCTTTCTTTCTTTCTTTCTCTCTCTCTCTTTTTTCTTTTTTTCTTTTTCTTTTTCCTTTTTTCCCTTTTTTTTGGAGAATTGATGGAATTTGTTCGCCTGATTGGTTGAATTCTGTTGTACCTTTCATGATTCTCTGTGAAACCTCTCCTCGGAGTGTTGAGTACTGATGCTTCATCTATGAGAATACATGTATGTGGGAAATACTGAGATGAAGCGAGGGGAGTGATTGGATTGCGTGGGCTCCTTTGGAGATTTTACCTTGTGAGGTGACAATGAGTTGGAGCATGTATCTGTTACGTGCTGAGGCCTCCGCAACATGTGTTATCACACACATCATCACACACACAACCACTCACACACACACGCACACACACACACACACACACACACACACACACACACACACACACAGGGGTGTTGGGCACACACCCGAGCCCCCGTGGACCTTGTCCGTTGAAAACAAAAACGGCGGGAGGTCCCCCGTTTTTTATTCAACGGGAATTCAGCGGGGGTGTGGGGGAATTAAACGGCTGTCAACGACCGTTTAATTCCTCGGACCTCGTCGAACATGTTACTCAGACTTGTCGGGTATTAAGGGGCTTTTGGGGGGGTTGAGCCATTTTTCAACCCCGCTCCGCGACCGTCTCCAAAAAAAAAAAAAAAAAAAAAAAAAATGGTCCCGAAACCGCGTTGTACGCAGGCGTACGGGAGTTGATTTGTACGAGTTGTACACTGGAGTATGTCGCGTGCATCCCCTACAAAGGGACGCCTAGGATGCAGCAGCTGCTCTGCATCAGATGAAGCATCTGCTCTACATGCAGCGCCTGCTGCAATAGATGCAGCATCTGCATCATCTGCTGCAGTAGATGCAGCTGGTGCATCTGCAGCATTTGCAACATTTGCTGCAGCAGATGCAGCAGCTACTGGTGCGCAGACACCTCCTCTTCCTCTCCCTCTCCCCTTGTTTTTCAATTCAATTAATCAATCAATCAATCAACTAAATCAAGATCCAATCAAGTCCATTGATTCGATTGGATCTTCAAATCAATCAATCAATCTATTTGATTGGATATTCAAATCAATCAATCAATCTATTCGATTGGATCTTGGTTTGAAAAAGGGTGGTAGGGGAGGGGGAGATGACAATGTAGAAAACGAGCGCGAGAAGGGGATGGGGATGCCGTGGGAAAGGAGGGTGACACTCTGCGATGGCGGGGGAAGAGGACGAGGAGGAGGAGAGGGATGACGAGGAGGAGGAGAGGGATGACGAGGAGGTGAAGGAGGACAGGCGCGCAGTGACGGAAGAGGAGGAGGTGACATCAGTAATGGACGATCAGGTGGAGAAGGAGGGGGAAGACGAGGAGGGGAAGGACGAGGAGGAGGTGGAGGAGGGCAAGGAGGAGGATGACAGGACAATGGCAATGGAGTAAGTGGAGGAGGAGTCGGGAGGGGGGGGAGGCGGGTGGCGGTGCCATTACCTCCAAACCCCCTGCCCTTTTTTTCTTTCTCAATCAATCAATCAAATCAATCCAATCCAATCCATCCAATCCATCCGTCCACCCATCCATCCATCAATCAAACAAACAAACAAACAAACCAAGCTCAAATCGATTCATTTGATTGGATCTTGATTTTTTTCAAGATCCAATCGACTGAATCGATTCAATTCGATCTTGATTTGTTTGGTTGATTGATTGATTGATTGATTGAAAGAAGGAAAAGAATGTAGGGGAGTGGAGATAACGATGTAGAAATGGAGGGCGAGAAGCGGACGGGGGTGTGCAGCGAAGGAGGACGACGTGGCCGGAGTGACGGGAGAGGAGGACAAGAAGGAGTCTCAGAGTGATGACAACGAGGACGAGGAGGAGGAGGAGTGGACAGCGGCGATGGACAAACAGGACAAGGAGAGGAAAACGAGGAGGAGGACAAGGAGGAGGAACAAAAGGAGGAGGAGGTGGAGGAGGGAGACGAAGAGGAGGAGGAGGAGGAGGAGGAGGAGGAGCCGTGGTGATCGAGGAGGATCGGGACACCACGTCAATGGAGGGGGAGGAGGGGGAGGAGGAGGAGCAACAAGAACACAAAGAAGAAGAGGAAAAGGAACAAGAACAAAAAGAAGAAGAGAAGGAACAAGAACAAAAGGAAGAACGAGGAGGAGGAGAGACAATAACAAAAAGAAGAGGAGGAACAGGAGGAAGAGGAGGGGCTCACGGAAATGGAGAAGGATAGGGATGCCACAGCGATGGAGGATGATGGTGAGGAGGAACAAGAACAAGAAGAAGAGAACGAAGAGGACCGGGAGGTGGAAGAGAGAAGTTGGCTGAGGCGCTGGAGGATGATGGAGGACGAGGAGGAGGAGGAAGAAGAAGAGGAGGAGGAGGAGGAGGGGGGGGAGGAGGAGGAGGAGGAGGAGGAGGAAGGGGCCGCGGCGCTGAAGGAGGAGGATGAGGAGGATGAGGAGGACGAGGAGAAAGATGGCGGTCATACCCGAACTGGTGCGGAGTGGAATGCAAGGAGGAGGAAGAGGTGGACGAAGAGAGGGAGGAGGAGGAGCAAGCGGAGGGAGATCAGTGAGGAGGCGGAGGAGGAGAGGGAGAAGGATGAACAGGAGAGATGTTTTTTCGTTTTTTACTTTCCCTCTTTTTTGTGTTGTCGGGACTATCGTCTTCACCCAAATACAATGCCTGCCCATTATGGCTGTATTTGGGGCAACTTACCGTCCACATACAGCGATGGGCGGGCGCTGTGTTCGGGTGAGGACAATGGTGGTTCATTTTTATTTTTTTTACCTTTTGGCTCGGGACAGGTCGCTTTCTTTTGGCTCGGGACAGGTCACTTTCTTTTGGCTCGGGACCGGTCGTTTTCCCTGTAATGAGAGGAAGGCGGGAGGGGAGGGGGGAGGGGGGAGGAGGGAGGGTTGGAGGACTACTATCAGGGTGTTGTGTCTGTTGACAAGGAAGCGAGGAAGAGGACGAGGCCAATCAAGGTGTTGAAGGAGGTTGAGGAGGAGGAGGATGGAAGCCATTGATTGATTCGTCAATTGACGGTGTATATTCTATCGATCAATCAATCAATTGATTCAATCAATCAATCAATCAATCAATCAATCAATCAAGAAATGATTGATTGATTGATTGATTGATTGATAGATTGGACGTCGTCAATCAATCAATGGCATTTCTCTCCTCCTCCTCCTCCCCCTCCTCTTCCTTCGCCTCCTTCAACACCTTGATGGCCCTCGTCCTCTTCCCCGCTTCGTCGTCAAGGACCCAACACCCTGATAGTAGTCCTCCAACCCCCCACCCCCCACCCCCGGTCCTCCCCCCCCTCTCCATGATGCCCTGATATTTCTTTTCATTATTTTTTCTTAGTCCAGACATTTTTGGGGTCCAGGGCACTGGTCCAGACGGTCTGGGTCCAGTCTTGTCCGGGTGTATGGTGCCTGTACGGATTACCAGCCGCTGGGGGTCCAGACAAATGTCCGGGCGTCGGTCCAGACATGTCCGGCTTCAGGTCCGCGTTTTCCATGATTTTTCCTAACGGTCGAACTGAGCAGGTTAGACCGTTGGACCGGTTGTCCAATCGGACGGACAAATGTACGGGCGTCGGTCCAGACATGTCCGGCTTCAGGTCCGCGTTCTCGATGTTGGCCCCCTGCGGACGGGTGGACCGGTTGTGCAGTCGGACAGCCTAGACGGTCGGGGGGGGGCCTGGACGTCCGATCCGGTAGCATAGGAAATAAATATGCAAATATGACGGTGCGTGTGTGTGTGTGTGTGATAATGGGAAGGCATTTGTGAAAGACGCTTCGGCAGGCAACAAGCATACGTCATGAAGACATTTCAGCCATGGGCGTACGGAAAAGACAGACGTGTCTCTCTCATCCTTTTTGCCCAGAGGCAAAAGCCAGTGGGGCAAAGGGCGGAGGGCGAGGAAGGAACCAGACACTGGACGGCAAGCAGCACCAAGGCATATAAGCTGGAGGGCATGGGGGTGACAGGTGGGCAGACCAACAATACTAGGTAGCAAAGGGAAATGACCACGAGCTAAGAAGCAGCAAAGCATCACGGCAAAGGCCAAGGAAACAACCAGACGTCGGATGACAAGCAGCAGCAAGGGACATAGGCTGGAGGGTATGGGGGAGGCAGCTGGGCAGACGAACCGCACAAGGTGGCAAAAGAAACAACAGCCAACCCAGAGAGTCCTGGCATGGATGCAGCAGGGCCAGAGAAAAATGGCTGGGAAAGGTACTGGTGGTTTAAAAAAGCTCACACTCAGATTCTGATCCGACACTATGCAGGGAAGGCAGTTTTATGGAAAACAATAGGATCCCACTTATTTCCTTTTTTTTTTTTTTTTTTTTTTGATCCCACTTATTTCCAGCCTAGTCAGCCTTTCCAAAAGGGAAGGGTCAGGTATCGGAGTGGGGGTTGCATGGCGCGTGGTCCGTGTCTGGCACCGTTCTCTTTTGGGATTCTTGAAAGGGCCCAACCCCTACCCGGGGCAAGGTCCCACTTGCACGGATTAAGAGATTCTGGCCGTTGATCTTGGCTATCTACGGTCAATATCGCTTAATTCGTGTAAGTGGGACCTAGCCCCCGGTAGAGAAAAAGGAGGATTTTTTTCTCTTTTCTTTTTTCCTCATGTCCGTTGAGGCACTGTGGTTTGTCCGCGGTTCAACAGTCCGACGGCGGCCCACAAATTCATGCCACGGATTTCGACAAAACGCCGGACTGTGGGAACCAAATTTCTTTGTACATCGGATGCTTCAGCTCCACCTTCCTCGGTGCTTTTTGGATTTAGGGCCTGATCCCACACTGCTTACAGTAAGGAAAAAGAAAAGAAAGAAAAAAAAGGACAAAAAAAAAAAAGTAAGGAAAAAGTGCAGTTTTCTCGGATCCCATCTGTTTCCGTGCATGTAGGAGGCTCCGCCAGCGACGGAGGCAAGTGGAAACATTTGCCGCCGTGTCGTCTCGGGTGGGACCGGTGGCAAAAAAGATTGTGGCCTTTTGGGAAAGAAGCCGACCCAGACCCTCAACCCAAAAAGAAGACGGGCAAATGGGTCTCCATCTCGTAACGTCTTTATGTTTCGGCAAGCAATACGCCCGCCCAAGAGAGCCCTTCTTGTTCCATCTGCCTACCTTATTCAAACCCAGCCGCATATACTTCTCTTCACAGTCCTTCAAAACAGAGATCTCCAAAACCTCACGAAGCTCGAAGGAAGGATTCCCAAAGAAGAGCATCCGCATACCCGATTCATAAACAAGTGGACAGCAGACCAAACTATCGCCAATGTTGTGATCAACAGGGCAACAAACCAGTCCTTCAAACATGGATAGACAGGGAGCCACGGCATCCATACTAACACAGGGGGCAGAGGCACCATCAAGATTGCCACGCAGCAGACAATCATTCAACAACGCATCGGTAACCTTCGCAGAATCGACAACGGGCAAGGAGGGATGAGAGGAGAAGGCCCTCAGGATTTGCGACCGTAGATCAGACAGACGATTAGCCCGGGATGGTCGAAGCACATTCTTCGAATTCCACATCCATGACGGGACGACCTCCGAGCCATTGAGACGAAACGATACGTGCCCATCCACACGCGGAAGGTTCGGGTCAGAGTTGACGCAAGCGCACCTAGCCACACACATTCTGGCATAGCCCCTGAAATTATGGATATCATCAGCAACATTACGATTGCGGCACCAAACAATCCGCAAGCCCCTGGCCAACATACACTTCCATGTCTGCTCAATATCCAGGTCAGAAATATTTTTTCCACATAGGCCCCGTACCTTGGCTTTGCACACAGAATCATCATATACTAGGCGAACATCCAGTCGCTTCTTGATGTGCACACCAAACCGGAGTAAAATACAATGCGACAATATGCACCTCAGTCGGAACCTCAACCTTTTCTCCGAAAAAGTTCGCACTGCAGTATATGCTGCACAAACCAACTCAGCAAAATCCCACGTCCTCAGTGTTTGCCGACAGCTAGGATAACTCAAACGTTCCGCAAGAGGGGCTTTCAAAGCTAAGGATCTGCTTAGAAATGGGACAACAGTCTCAAAAAAACAAGGTTACTCCACCTTTCACCCACCATCGTGCATGTCGTAACTCACCTTAAAGTTTGTCAAAGACGCACTGTCAGTCGATTAAACAGCCTCCATACAACCTTCTCAGAACCTTCCATTTGTCAATTAACAAGTCACAGGTAAAAAAAAAAAAAAAAAAAAAAAAAAAAAAAAAAAAAACAAAAAAAAACTAAAAAAAAAAAAAAAAAAAAAAAAAAAGTCACCACCAGCACACCTGATGGTCAAACGATGGATGGAACGCACCCTGCATTCTTCCAAGATCTTAAGGAGACTGACAGAGGACAAACCAAAACAAGAATGAAAGGTGACGACAGAATTGGACAGAGATCGAATCTGTGAAGAACCAATTTCACCGTTAAACCTCTTTTTCCTCAATCTCTCTCTCAAACCAGCCCTCCTTCTCTTACTCCGTTTACACTTATCTCTAACATTCAAGGTAGGCCCCAACAATCTGATAAAGAACTTCTCAGTCTCCAGAAGATCATCCCCAGAACATACACACAACGGAATGACGGCATAGGTGTGAGCCCCACACCTTCTCAACCATTGATACAATCGCTCATTCCTTCTACCTTCTTCGGCTACCTTCAACGTACAAGCACGGTAGACGTGCTCCCTCCATCGAGAATGCAGATCACGGTGGGTACTTCCAACATACAAATACCTTGACCACGGAGACAATAGAGCATACACAACAGGTCCTTTCCATAACTCAGCCTTACGACACGAGAGAGGAAGATTCAAAAAGAAGGAAATAGCCTTACTACCAGTGCCTGCCCCGTGAACATGACCGGCACCGGTCACCTGTCCGTGACCGGCCGGTCACCGGGCCTAAAATCCGTGAACGGCCGTTCACGGGTTTTCCGCCCACGGGGACGGCAGTACAGTCGGGATGGGGGCGGGAGGGGGATGGTGCGGGGCCCTTCTACACCCCCGTACCTTCAAATCATTAAAAAAAAAAACAAAAAAAAAAACAGAACGGGGTGTCTCCAAGAAAAGAAAAAAAGAACATTTGGGGGGTGGAGGTGGGGGGGGGTTGGCGCAGGGCCCTCGCAGAGAAGCGCGGGAAAAAAAAATAAAAATTTTGGGGTGCGCAGGGCTCTCTCTCTCTCTCTCTCTCTCTCTCTCTCTCTCTCTCTCTCTCTCTCTCTCTCACTATCATGCACGAACGGCCACTGCCCAACGAAAGGCAATGAATGATGGCCTCCGTTGCGTGTGGTGCTTTATGGCACCACGAAACGCACGGCCAACCATCCTGGCGGGAAATGAGGCCCGACCTGTTTTTTTTTTTTTTTTTTTGGTGGTTGTATGGCGCTTGCACCGTGTTAGATGTCGTCAGTCGCTGTTTTTTTTTAGGTCCCCAAAACACCCTCAGAATGGGGGTACAGCCGACGGAAGCTATAACAAACACAGCCGAACTCGGTTTCTTTTTTGATTTTTAATTTTTTTTTTTCAATTAAAAAAAAAATTCTGATCATTAAAAAAAAAAAAAAATTTGGGCAGGKGCCCATTGACAWGGACCACACMCCTATGTGAAAAAAACACCCCCCTACCAGCCAAAAAAAAAAAAAAAAAAAGAGTTCCCGCTCTGCGTGAACTCCGTGAACTACGACCGGTCACGTTTTTCGTGACCGGTGGCCGGCCCGCGTTCACCAACCCCGTGAACGGTGAACGGGGGTACGGCACTGCTTACTACCCCACGGTACACCACCATCAAGAATCAGATTACACACAGCAGAGGTGAGAAAACAATTCAGCTCCTTACATCGCAGAAGGTCAACAGAACGAGATCGAAGCTTACAACACAGTCGTACAATTTCCCAGAGGGAAGCCGCGTTCGGGCGTGACCCTAAGAAGTAGCGGAGTCAAGTCCGTCGCTTGGTTCAGATTCGTCGTCCTTGTCGTCCGATACCTGAACAGCCGAAGTACCTTTGTCTACATCCTCCTCTCCATTGTCACCATCGAACGCTCTCGCAGCCCACTTCTGCACGATTGCTTCCTTCGTCGGATCAAGTGTGGTATAGGCAACCCCATCTTTCTCACAAATCTCTTTCACCTCGTCTTTGTTTTTCTTCGGAAGATCCTTGCGTGCTGATCGCACAAACGCCTCTCGGTCAACGATCTCAGCATCCGCGTTGACCTTGGCCTTGCCCTTGTCCCGTTTGGTTGATGGACAAGCCACCTCATCCAAACGAGCTTTCAAGTTAGTAGCAGTTCCTTTCTTCGTCATCTTCAGTTTCTCCATCTCGATCTTGAGGCGCTCAACTTCAGCCTCTGACAGTTTCCTCGCATTAACCTCCTTCAGCCGCATGTCTTTTAGTAAGTCAACCTGAGCCTCATGTCGCTCCAAGATTCCTTTTAGTTGCGCACGTTCACTCGACTCGTCGGTGTAGGGGCTGGAGTCGTCCGCAACCTCGCCTTGGCCTGAGTGGTCAGAGATTCCCCAATGGCTACGCTGCCCCTTTTGTTCCCAGGCCGAAGCCCCTCCATTTTCCAAGCCTCAGCGTTTGCTTCAGCAGCTTCGCATTGTCGTTGCAACGCTCATGAATAACCTCCTCCAGACTACTCAATTGTCTATCAGTAGCCGCCTTCAACTCTGCTTGTTCTCGTCTAAGTCTTATAACTCCATCATTTTCAGCCGCAGGTTTGGTAACGGTAGCCAATGTACTCGCACCATGGTTCTTTTTCCCAATTTCATCCACTCGCAGCTTCAACTTCTCTAACTCCTCCTTATCACTATCCTTCTTCCCGTTGATCGCCTCATAAACTTTGTCAATTTTCTGCGACATTTGCGCCTGCAGTTCTTCACGTTCCTTCTTCTCACGTAGTCGCTTCTCTTCTTCCTCACGTTCATGTTTTTTCCGGTCTTCGTCTTCTTTCTGCTGGCGTTCTCTCTCCTTGTCGGCATCATGCCTGATCTTCATTTCTGCTACCAATCCTTCCAATGAACTAACTCTCTTACCCAAATCCCCAACCTCCACTGCCGTTATACTGCCCAGCGTAGGCTGGGACAGCAGTACCTACGTTGGTACTAGCGGGCATAGACAGTATCGGAGTCTAAACAGGGACCAACGCGTTAGACGGTTGAGCAGGAATCAAAGCATTAGGGGGTTGACCCCCATTCAGCCTTCGATCAGGCAGGGGGCAACATCTGGAAATGTGACCAGGCTGACCGCAGTTATAACACGAACGTACTAGAGGACCATTCTGACTTCCGTTAGACGCCATGATAAAAATGCGAAGCCACACAACAGTAGTACTATTTCTACGTCGGTTACTTCGGGAGCTGAAGTATGTCAGGCAGTAGCATGAACATAGATAGCAAAATGAAAAGCCAACTCAATCAACATGTCCTCAGAACGTCCACATCAGCAGCAATCAGAGGCACAAAGAGGGGAAGGAGGAGAGGGAGGAGGAGGAAGAAGGAAGACAGAGAGAGACCATGTCCCGAACGCGACTGTATTATCGAAAAAATAATCGTGATGAACAAAAAGTGGAAACAAAAGCTCCCGCGCGGCGTTACGACCCGAACGGTTTCGCCTGGCCGCCAACCAGGACTCATCACGGGTCGAAGTCGGTAAACAGGACATGGAACCAAAGACTTTAATACTACCTCCTACAGACAGTAAGAGCTACTTCAAGAAGTCTCTGGAAAACCGCGATACTTCCCGTTCTACCGCTTCCTGGTCATCAATAGGACTAGATTCATTCCATACTCCAAGAAAATCGTGTCCAATATCTTCTCCCACTGAAAAAACCTTCCAAAAAAACGCTCTACATTGCACTGGGCCTACAAAAAAAAACCGTGATACTTCCCGTTCTACCGCCTCCTGGTCATCAATAGATTCATTCCATACTCCAAGAAAATCGCGTCCAATATCTTCCCCCACTGAAAAGACAACCGTAAAAAACGCTCTACACAGAGCATGGCCCTGCGCAAGGGTGACACGCATAAATCGAGGAATCCTATGCTGTCTACCCAAAACCGACCTCGTCGGAGTCCGCTTTTCTTCCTTTTTTTTCAATATTCATCAGGGGTACCGATTTCAGAGGTGATACGAGGTGTGGGGAGCTTGTGATGTATGGTGTCCTCTCTCTGTCAATGCTCCCTCTACACGAAAGTTGTTCAGAATCAGGTCCCCTGCACAAGCAGGTTCCCTCAGCTCTGGAGTTAGCACTCGTTCTGGATAGCTCGGCAATCACCAGGCTATGTTGGTCCTGCGTTCTCTTTTGCTCTTTCTTTTTCTTTGTACTATTGAGAGGATGAGGTAGATGCATACTACCAAGAAAGATGAAGTAGATGAGAGAAGAATATAGCTTACCATAGATGAGAGAAGCACATAGATTACCTTCAAAAAAAAAAAAAAAAAAAAAAAAAGTTCTAAAAAAAAAAGGAAATAAAAGAAGGGAGACAGTTCCCTGCGGTATCATCATCAAACGCACCGGGCATGGGTAAGAGTAGTCATCTCATGCATCTGATTTCATCGGAATTCGAACTCAGGTCTGTTTATGAACAGTTCAAGGGCCACACTAACCTTCTAGGTGTGAGTACAACCTCGCCCATGTGGATCAATGGTGGCGAGGTTGTTTCCCACACCGATAAGCTCCCCACCGATAAGATCGGTGCCTTCGTTTTGTTTTCTCTTTCCTTGCGCAGGGGCCACGGCAATCTTCTCTGTATCTCCCCAATTTGTCACCTGTCCCGGCCTTCTGTCTCGCTCGCACTATCACGGACGAGACTACGGCACACGAATACCCGGCGCGCAATCCGGAATCCGAATTCTATGGTGACTCCATGGTGTCACCGGTCTCCTCCCCGTCATAGCGCCCCCTCGGATCATGAATTTTAAAAAGTTATCTTTCCGGTCAAATACAGTGTTGAAGAGGGGGGGCCGTTGAAGAGGGGGGCACATTGAAGACGGGCGGAAGACCATCAGGGCGATCCTAATCTTCGTCATCATCGTGCTAGCTTTTTCGGATGAGGGCCTAGCCAGCCGCAAGGACCTCGAACAAGACACAAAACGATATAGTAGGAAAAAAAAAAACAAAAAAAAAACATTATGAGATCAACAGTCCTCTCCCATAGTGATTATCGTGAGCATTACAGACATAGAACGGGTGCGTTGACGGACTCCTATAAGATGACTGCTATCTTCCCCTGAACAGGACACACCCTAATCATGAATACATACAAGTGTCACTGATCTTTCCAGTTCCATACGGTCTGGATAAGGGTGGGTTGTGATCAGGGGAAGTCGGACCGTGGCAGATTAATCAATCAATCAAGCAAGCAAGTGAGCAGCCAGCTGGCTAGCAAACGATCGAACGCGCCCCATACCAACGATTGATCAGCCAATCAGCCAATCAGCCAATCAACCAATCGCCCAAACAACCAATCGTTTGCATAGAACCCTCCATTCACCAGTCAATCAACCCATCAAGAAGTCCCTACAGTCCTATTACAATCGGCCAATCTAACAATCTTATCAATCCATCAATCAATGGAGAGACTAGTCAATCAATCAAACGATCAGCAATCAGTCAATCTGAAGTCAGTTGCCGGATCAATCCATCCATACAGCCATCCATCGATCTTATCGACGAAGGAAGTCACCAGTCAACGAACCCATCAGAGAGCCAACAAATAATCCACACATCCATTCATCCATCATTATTCCTCTCTGACTGATTCTCAGTTGACGAAAAGACTTATGAATCTCCGTCAATATCAACGAATCAAACAACACACTGCGTTCGAGAGGGACAGCAAGTGAAACAGCTGCGTGCGTAACGTACAGTGGGACTTGACGATAACAGAGGGGAATACTATGCATGGTCGATCAATCAATCATTCAACGTTGCGGACGAGAAGCTGAATTCCACACACACACACACACAAACACACTCCAAATGTCTGCCCGAAAGCGTGCACGAGTGAGAGAGAGAGAG